GAAAGAAAGAAAGAAAGAAAGAAAGAAAGAAAGAAAGAAAGAAAGAAAGAAAGAAAGAAAGAAAGAGAAAGAAAGAAAGATGTCTCATGATGAAGGTAAGATAAGGAAAGTTTCCATAAGTCTTCTCAAATGGTGTGATAGATTTCTGGATCAAAGATGCATGGTAGTTATTTCAAATTAACCTCCAGCGTTAGTTAGCTTTCATCACAATAAAAAAGACAGAGTTCACTGGTACGGATATCGAGTGGAGGGGGTGTCACAAAGCATCTATATGAATATGAAAATTTCACTTCGTGTTATGTTTTTTTCTGTTTATATTGGTATTAGTAGGTAGGTTGTGCCCATATCGAATTTTCTCAGTGCTTTTGTTCTCGGTGGACAGCCTTTGGCTTCAGCAGGCATCTGTGAAGGGCAAGGCCACATTCCATTGCCCTGAGAGAGGATGGTGCTTAGGCAGGACGTCGGTTTTTACCAAGATTCCAAGGTACTGCGTAAGGAAAACCGAAAGATAGGATGCTGGCTGAATTCGATAATTTCTGAGTTACCTCCGCACGAATACAGCCTAGGATGCTCTTTATCCTCATTCAGCCGACAGGGTAACTGGTCTACAACCACTCAGCTGATCGCTGCTCCAAAACAAACACGACCACCAGATCGGTGGGAAAGCACCCAGCCTACCTAGAAACCCGCCGGACGCACGCCGCCACGCCCACCTACCTGTGCGCCTGCGCCCCTGAGCTCTCAAGGTCAGCCCCCACCCCCGCCCTATCCTCATACTCACGGAAGTAGCTTTAGAGGACGCCTTGCGGCTCCTCCTCTCTGCGTGGCGTGGGGTCACCGGTGGTGAGGAGAGGGAGGAACTTCCTGTCCCTCGCGGGCAGGACTTCCGGCAGAGCCGGAAGACCTTTTACCTCGCGTTTTGGAGAAATCGGTTTTGCAGAACCTGGAGGGGATATTTAAGACCGTCCCGGCGACTCTAGAGTGTCTGCCTCACGACCTATTCTGGGCGTTATGGTGAGTCCTTCTTTGAGGACCAGAGTGAGAACCTTCAGGAGGAAAGGGCGGGGAGGTCAGTCTGTGAAAGGAGCCGGTGGATGCCCCTGCTCAGAATGGAACCTGCTGAAGCATTGGGATGAACTGCTGGCACGACCACCCCCACCCCCCCTGCTCGGAGTGTGCGCGGCCGCCGCAGGGGTTCCGGCGGAGGGACCTGTGGGGTCGTGGGAGGTCGGGTCTGCCGGAATACGCAGAACTAGTATGCTGCCATCGCATTTGGCCTGTGGCACCAGGTGGCCCACAGATGACCTTGCTCAACTCATCAGCTTGTCTCTGCTACCTTTCCCGCCTCAGGCTTGGGGACAAGAATTTAAGGACATAGAAGTACCTTCGAACACTACTTGTCTCCTTCTTAGAGACAAGCAACGAGGGGCACTTAAGACAAAATTGGATTTCTCTTAAAACTAAACTATTTCAGAAATGGAAATATTGTCACTTTAAAAAAATGCCCAAGTTGAGTACCAACTCAAAAATTTGTAATTTTCCTTTGTACATTTCTGTTTTAGTAGGGAGAATAGCCTCAGTCGTAATATTTACAAGTGTCTTAAAGGTTAGGTGAAAATGATTTCATAGAGGTAAGTAAATATAGAAAGAACCTGGTAAGGGAAGGTAAGATGGAAAGCAGGGTAACCAAAGGGTATTTTACTGTGAGGTCAGTCATTCAGAGAGTTACTGTGCTGTTAAAGGTGCAAAGAAGGACAACGTTCAGTGACTTGTAAGAAAAAAAAAAAGTCTTAATCAACTTTAGATAAGAACTAGACTTCTTACTGGTGGATGTTGACTAATCACACAGTTAAGAAGTTAACGTATGCAATGAACACTGGGATTTTGAAAGGTCTAGGTTTGGCTTTATTGTAGAAAGGTGGGAGGAGGGCAAGTTGGTGTGTAGGGGATGGTAACGGAAGTAAACTGTTTTCTGGAACATAAAAGGATTTTAAAAACAGACTTACTGTTTCCAAGATCACAAGGTTCTGGTAAAATTAAACAGGCAATCAGCCACGTGGAAGATTTCAAACCCTCATCTTCAGGGGCTTCTGTCTTGGATTCTAGCTTCAGTTGACCATGCTGCTTTCTTTTTATGTACACCAGGCTGTCCTCCCATTCACAGATCAATCTGCCTTTACTTCCCAAGTGCTGGGATCAAAGACATGTCACTACTCCCAGTTTGGCCATGCCTCCTTTTTCAGGGTCAAATACTGCCAGTTTTAGCTGTTCTGTGTGATAATTTTAGAAGGATTTACTTGAGAATAAAAACTCATCTGGTTCCAGTTGCACTCTACCATGTGACATTTCTTTTAGCAGCTTTTTTTTTTTTTTTTTTAATGTTTTGAACCTCTGAATAATATAGCTTACATTCCTTAAGAGAGGTCTGTTTTCATTTGGCATAATGAAATTAGAGAGGGAACATCAGAACTGGAAGGAATCAAAATCAAGTCAACCTCCTAATCCCTTTAAATTTTACATAAGGAAGAATGTGGAGTCTAGAGATAGGCAGTGATATACTTGAGGTGACATCTCATGAACTTGATCTTAGTTTCTTAAGTGTAAATTTTTGACTTAGTCTGCTAAGTTGATGATAGTGTGTAAATAAATTTCTTAAATTTGTGATAGTTACAGAGCTGAATTAGACTGTGTTCCCTGTATTCTGAGATCCATAGAAATAATCTGGCAGCTCTAAAGAAGTATCTATACTTTTAGCTAAACTCATGGTGATTTTTCACAATGTGGGGCCTGGTAGTTAGCTGTCTCCATTGTGACAAAAACTTACTTTTTGAGTTACTTGACTGAAGTTGTTTACAGCTATGAAATTGATCATGTTTTTGTACATATTTGCAGTCAATGATTGGAATCCTTAAGAAAAAAAAATGAAATGAGGATGGACTGAATTTAGGTCACAGTGTGGTTGAATTAACAGTTTCTTTTAAATTGCCAACCATATAATGAGAAGAGCACTACAAAGGAACTCTGAAGACCCAGGTTCTGCTCATTAGGCTCATGAATTTGCTAAGATCACTAGCAGTATAAGAAGTTCTAGATTCCTTTGAAAGAATTGGGATTTAGTCATCTTCTGATTCTTGTACATTCAGTCACTTAGAACTTTCTTTCATGATTAAGATTTAATCTGGTTTCCTTGTCCTTTTAATTCTTTTTTTAAAATTTTAATAAAATCTTTCTTTTTTAATAATTTCATATATCATCTGGATAGTCTTGGAATCTTTGTCTTTATATTAGGCCAAGTATTTCACTACTGTGTTATAAATGCTTCTGCATACTGGACATTTTGTTTTTTCAGTTTAATTGGTTATAAATTTATTCTGCCATCTCATTCTCTGATATGCTATGTAGCCCTAAACTTCAGAGCTGTGCTGTATATATCAGGTTCTTGTTTGGTGAGCAAATGACAATAGACTTGTGATAGAGACTGAATTCTTTTTCTTTCAGTTTGTGAAAATATTCAGTAGGAAATTTATCAACATACCAATTCTGTTATACTTTCTATTGTGATGGAAATCTTGCATTCATGCTAATTTGTGGGAGAACAGTAGAGTGATTAGAGCTAGTATTTTCAGTTGTAGATGCCTTGTGGCTTGTTTAGTTAATGTAGCATTTTATAATAATTTGTTGTTAGCTCTGGGGAGACAGAAAGCATTACTATAGTCAGAGTTGGTGAGGAGTAGAGCTGGCAAGAGTTAGTGTGATAGGTATTATGAGAGAAGTAAGTACATGCAGTGTGCTTAAAGAGTACAGACCAATGAATTGATTTTAAATTGGGGGAGTCAAGGAATAGATGTTATCTGTGAACTTGGAAATGTACATTTGGACCCCATTATTGAGTGGTGAAATTTCAGAATCTTTGCTTGTTTGTTTAAATACAAGTTCAAGCTGGCTTTGAACTCCATGCTTTCATGCTTCAGCCTCCCAAGTGCTGTAATTATTGTGTGATCCATCACTCCCAACTCTGAGTGTTATTTCTAATAACTTCTATAGTTAAGTCTGAAGCAAGTGGTCTTCAGACCATCCTTAGAGGAAAGCTGGAAGGCTAAGAAACTTGAGTGTATTTATTAGAAGTTCTTTTGCATTCGAGTTAAAATCAGACATGTAGTTTGAAGGTCAGGCTCTAAGGAGATTTCAGCATTGAGCATGTAGTGGCAGAGATTTGAGTTTATTCTGAAGTTTTCTGATTTCCTTTTTCAGAGATTCTTCTTTGCTCTTTTTTCCTTCAAGAGGCCTGGTCAATGCTATATTAGAGAGTTCCTATTTCTCCAGTATTTGGTTAATTCAACCAATTATCGCTGAGCACCTTTGTAGAAAAAACAAGTTGTTAACTCCCTTTTATTCCTGTGTACCACCTGTTTTATTCCATTTTCCATAGCTGATAGTGTAATACCACAGGATGTAAATTGTGAGAAATGGATTTAGTGGTTCAGAGTTCTGGTCCAAGGTTGAGAGACCTCATCTAATGATGGCTTCGCTGGCAAGAGTGTAGTGTTTCAGGTAGACATATGGCAAGAGTTAGGGTGTGCATATGTTAATGCATATATCTTTCCTCACTTTAATTATAGGAACTGCTGTGGTGACCTTGTCTGATTTTAATTACATCCCAATGGCAATATCCTGAAAGATGAGTTAGGTTAAGTTTCTTCCCTCTTAATGCAGTGGAAATTAAATGTTAGCATGAGTTTTGGAGAAGACAAACTATAGTTTACCATCTGCTCTGGAATTATGTAAAACATAATTGGTTTGGCTGAAATGACTATACCTCTGTTTTACCTGACAAGTGTTAAAAAAGTCCTATTCTTATTTCAGAGGATACTTATTCAATCACTCATTCACTATTTTTTTTCAACATTGATAGGCCAAGGATATAACTGTCTATAAAACAAATAACTGCCTTTTGGGAGCTTGTTTCTATTCAGAGAGGCTGATTGCTGATCCTGTAGTGAAGCAAACAGTATGCTAGCTGTGGTAAATGAAGCAAAGAAAGCAGAAGGTCCCTTCTGTCTTTACCCCAACACTTTCACAGGATCCCTGGGGAGCTCCACCTATGCTTGGCTGCAAGTCCCAGCATCTGTTTCTGTCCGCTGCTGGCTGGAGCTTTCCAGTCAAGTTAGGCTCCTGTTTCATCTGTCTTTTCTGGGTCTGGGTTACCTCACTTAGGATGATCTTTTCTAGTTCCATTCATTTGCCTGCAAATTTCATGATTTGTTTTTAATAGCTGAGTAGTATTCCATTGTGTAAATGTACCACAATTTCTGTAACCATTCTTCATTTGAGAGGCATCTAGGTTGGTCCAGTTTCAGGCTATTACAAATAAAGCCACTGTGAACATAGTGGAAGTGTTGGAAGGGGAAAGATGGAAGGACCTGGAGGGGACAAGAACATCACAAGAAGACCAACAGAGACAACTAACCCAGTCCAGTGGGGTCTTACAGATACTGAGACATCAACTAAGGAGCATGCATGGTCTGGATCTAGGCCTCCTGCACAGATGAGGCCAATAGGTGATGGGGGTGGGGGGAGGCGTGTTGTTTCTAACATATTGGATCACTTCTGCTGGCAGGGTGGCCTCAGGGGTTGAGGATATACTCAGTCCTGATGTGACTTAATGTGATGGGGAGGGTTGATACAACAGGAAGGGGGATGCACCGTTTTCTTGGGGAAAAGGGAGAAAGGAAGGGGATAGTAGGGGAAGGGGAAGACTGGGAGAGGAGGAAGGGGCACCTTTTGAATGTAAAGTAAATAAACTGAAATTAAAAAAAAAAGAAAGCAGCGGGGATGGATAGAAAGTGATGTGGTGGCTGCACGCTGTAGTGAAGAATAAATGTAAGATTTCCAGTAAAATTCTAGGTTTTCAGTGAATAGGATGATTATAGATAATTATTTTTAAGTATGTAGATAGTGGCATTGCTTTCATAGATTGCAGTTTTGCATCACTTACTGAAAAAAATGAAGCCTTT